TAAATCATAGTTATGATTCCAGAGATGATTTTAATAGTCCTATAGAAATCAAAATGATGATTATGATACCAATGGGATCATATTATGATGTTTAGGGTACTTGTCAAATCATATTACGATTCGTTATGATGCATACAGGACTATTACATCATCATATGAATCATCGCATATGATTCCATAGGCTGGATTCCTGTGTTGGAAGAGAGGGCCAACCAGTCCAAAATTGCAACAGCCCTTCAAGTGTTTCTTCTTCACCAGAAATACCAACGTAAAAACAAAAACATTTCTTGTCATGCTTATCTAAATGTAAAATATACTAGTACTTTCCTCCCAAGAATTTCCCTTGTTCATTCTTGAATGAATTACCGGTAATCGTTTCATTTTTCTACCCTATCCATCCCTCCTAAAATCAAACACCCCAATGTTATCTTCCAGGTGAGGGCGCTTTGTTTAAGGTGGGAGTTACTGAATACTTTGCAGGCATCTTCTTCCGTGAAATGTTCTCAATGCTGATTCTAGACAAACATCACTTTGAATAATTGATTTAGGCACCTTAATTAACTTAAGTGTACAGAGAGACCACATTTTTTAATATTTTTTTAATGTTGAAGGAAGACCTCAAGGACAATTATGGTACCTCTAGTACTGAGCTCATCCAATTTCTCAAAGAACTCTGCAACTTTTGACGTGCTCTCATCTGTTGGGTCATACTTGAGTAGTAATCTTAGTTCTGATACTTCGGTAGTGCTTTTGGCAACTGGAAAGACCAGCTGTTGCACTTGAGAGTGTCGCTGGAGAAGGTCAATCACACCTGTGCCCATCACACGTACTGAATCCAACCTCTTCCTGAGATCATCCAGTACAGTAATACGCCTAGTGATAACCTCATATGTTAACACACATTCATAGGCCAATAACCGGTTTGAGGGGGTTGCTTCAATATGAGGAAACCCAGCTGAAACAAGGATGTCTGTGATGTTGAAGTCGCCATCCAAAGGGAATTTGCCCAGCTCCTGGTCACTACAGTGCACAAGCTTAAGAGTAAAATAGTAATAAGGCATGAAAAAATCACCTTGAGTAACAAACCTTCTATAAGCCCAAACTTGAGTAAACATTGAAGATTTTTAGCGTTTTGGCTGAGTTTGTGCTTTGGGAGTTGTCTATTGTTTCTAGTCTGTCATTATACAGCATTCTTGTTCAGCACTCGTGCAATGACTGCGCTTGGCTGACTTCGGAATGCTCACCAAGAAGATAATGTCACAGTTTTTCAATGACCATGAAATTCAGAGTCCGGGTAGTTAGTTAATCAATTGTGGCCCTGAAAAAACTTGAAGGAAAAAAAACTACGAATTTTTAAGAAAATGCTTTTTTTGTGAGAAGGACTCTTAAACTCTGACAAACGTCAACAAATAGCAAAAACTATAATTTCTATATGTTTTCTTTGCTCGAAATCACGCGCATTTACAAGGCCCTAAAGCGTTTTGCTGACTTGCAAGGACCCATCTGTTATAACCATGCCCAAAATAAAGGGATGAATCTCATAGTTTATTAGATATAATCGTGTAAAGTTTGCTTATCATTTTCGCATAAATGTTGACCTAAATTTGGAAACCGCTGAATTTCTCGAATTGGGTCTTTGCAATTTTGGTGAAACTCTGTTCAGCGGAAGGCACTAATGCGCACTATGTGTAACAGCAGATTTTCGACTCAGACCTCAAAGGGGCGTGGCATTATAAGCACGTGACATTTACTCCGATCGCCAAAAATTTTGTGTTATATTGTACATTGATCTATATGTTATCCATTCGATGTGTTAGACTTACGATAAAAGTAAAGGTGGGGATACCAGAGAGCTTCAAAGTGGGATGGTACCCCCCCAAAAAAACTGGGTCGAGTCACCTTCATGCCATTGAAACTACCTCTCATTAAATCCTGCATTAGATAGAAGAAGTAGGCTGTTGTTGGGCCACCAGCATCAACTCCTAATTCTAATGCATTGGAGCTCAGGAACTGAACATTAAGGGGACTCTGCAGCTTAAAGCTTGGATTTTTGTATTTCCTTAACACTTGGGCTTTTCTCTCTAGAGATGTTCTTCAGGTGCATTTGACTGTACAGGACTAGTAAAAAAAACTGTGCCAGGGCCTCCTGATAGTTCCATTTTCTCATTCTCCAGGCTGATTAGGGTACATTCCAGTCTGTGCCGTCTTTATCTTCGTCTTACATGTAAAACAATTTGCATGAATCAAAAGTACATATCAACACTATTAATAGTGTCATCTTGAAAAGTATGTTAATGTACCACAAAGTTACAATATTTTCATTATTAAAACACAGATAAATCAACAAAACTGTAACGCAGCAGACTGAGCTAATATTTGTTATTTGTGCTGTTATTTGGTTGGTGTTAACTATATCAATACTTTTTGACAAATGCAAATTTTTTTTCTCCGTCAGTGCATATACCCAATGCAGATTTCTTTAAGGAATACACTGAACAAGGCCCCGAGTGACCAATTCAGTGAAATGTTAAGCCAGATTTCAATCTGAATTCCCTCTTTGTATCTAAAAAATTGTCAGGTAGATTAAACACATAATTGTCACTAAGTATGAGAAAATTCAAACTCACACTTGTAAAGGAAACTATCATAATTTTCAAAATGGCACTTAAGACTCTCCAACAGGAAATATTAGTTTATTAACAAATATGGCCTAAAGTACAAGCTGCAACCTTTGATATTTTCAACCTGTAGTGGGGAAAGTCTGCTCTGGATAGGGTAGATGTTCTATACTTTTGACAACTCCTGTAAGCAGGTATGTGTTGTTTTACTAACTAATAGGCTAACATACTTCTACTATTCTCTTACTCTGATCTTTGTTCCCTTCCGTCAAGAGATAATCAATAGCAGGATTGTACCATGTAATGTTCCTTTTTCTCTTTCTTTTGGCTCTCGGAGTGGGCTCAGGGTTGTATGTTAGTTTGTGATCATATCCACTTTCTTTAAGTGCTTGCTGGTAAGGAGCAATTGATTCGTCAAAAACTTCTTTGCTGGATGAGATGTTAGTTAGCCTTTTGTTGATGTTGAGTGGTATGTTTTTTAGTAATGCCGGGGGGTGGTTGCTCTGTTGGTGGACGTACGAGAGTTT